GAAAGAGAAGGCCAAATTCAACAAACCATCAGATTTTTAGTTTGCTTAATAACACATAATTGATTCGTCCTATGGAGGGGGAAAAAAAACCTTTTAAATTATTGTGAGAACTTCCATCTGAGAACCTCTTTTAAAAATCCAGTTTTAGTAAAGAACTCTGCTAAGGTAATTTAACAAGGATGCTTTGTCTCTGATATCTGATCCCCCTCTATATCTAATTGGGTTCTTCATCCTCCAACACCCTTTAGGTGATGTCTGAGCATCTGTCTTCAGCAAGAATCCAGTTAGATCAGTTTAGCCAGAATTCCCCAACTCTTGATGTTTCCTCTAAATAATTTTTCATTCACTGATCCCCAACCCTGTGCCTGAGGGATAAATTCCCACTCACTCATGTTGTACTTGGTATTGAGGCTGTAGCTCTCCCTGCAAAATCCCACTGCAGTGGTCCCTATATCTATTATAATAGTCCTGAGGAGTGTTCCTTACCATATTTCACAAGTACCATCGAATACTCTTTCACTTTAACACATTCTATAACATGCATGTAGGTTTTACTGGCAGGTTTTTTATTCTATTAGGCTCTTGAAAAAGTCATGATGCATTTTTGCATAGAAAAAAATACATCATCACTTTTTCAACAACCAAATATAATGGTAGTTTTAAGATTCATAGGTACTTTTGTTTGAAAGCTCAAGAAGAGACCATTAATTTGAGACAAGCTTAGACAATTTTTGTAAAGTCAGATTAGACTGTTGGTAAAGGAAAATTTGGGTAACAGTCAAAATGTATGAATCAATCAATAATCAATCCCGTTGTAGCACAATTATGAACAAATGCTCTGTTTAGAGGCCTGCTGTAATCCCAGCTCTTGAGGGATGGATGATTATTTGAATTACAATAAATAGCAACACTTTGTATTCTTGCTCTCTCAAGCCAATGATAGATTCAAATTAGCATTAAAAATTCAACTTACTATAGATCCTCTCTCCCCTTTTAGTCCTTGTTCACCCTGGTCACCTGGCTCGCCCTTTTATAGAAACCAAAACAAAAAACACATATTAGGCAGAGACCAAATAAGTTATATTAATGTTAATTTTTTTTTTAAATGCCAGAATTACAAAGAATGCTTGAAAACATACTGGGGGCCCTTGTTGTCCAGTGGCACCTCTTGGTCCTGGTACACCCACATGACCCTAGGAATGAAAAAGATTGTAGTATTAGATTAAATAGAGACATATGACTTAAAGAATCATGTACTGCCACTCAAAACAGTAGCAAAGTGTTGAGAAATTCAATTTAGATTTCATGGAGATTCTTCTTTCTGAGAAGAATCATAATCTTAAAAACAGGATAAAAAATAACAACTGCTGGATAGTATCATAACTGAGGAAAAACAATTTTTGTTATTATTGTTATTTTATGTGAGTTAATATAGTGGGTTGAATGGTGACCTCCCTAAAGCATTTCATGACTTAATCCCCAGAATTTGTGAATATGATTTTATTTGTCAAAAGTGTCTTTGTAGAAGTCATTAAATCAAGGATCTAAAAGTGAGATTATCCTGGATGACCCATTTGGGCCCCAGATTCACTAACTGCTATCCTTCTAAGAGACACACAAAGGGAGACAATACAGGAGAAGGCTAGGTATAGACAGAGGCAGAGACTGGAGCGATGCGGACACAAGGGATGCTGACAGCTACCAGAAGCTGAAAGGGGCAAGTGGACACTTTGACTTTAGATTTCTGTGCCTAAAACTGAGAGAATAATTTTTTGTTGTTTTAAGCCACCTCAGTTATCATATTGGAATTTGCACGGAGGCTCAGGAAGCTAACAGTTTTTCATTACAAACCAATATATCCAAAAGAACATAAGGTTTAAGAACAAATTTCTTTTTTTAACTTATTTCCTTTGTGAAAGTGTACTATGACCCTCATTTTTGTAACCTAAACTCACAGTCATTTGAATAATAGATTTACTAAGTCGAAACCTGAGAACAGTTACTATATATGATACCAAGAAATATCAAATGACTCTCACATTGTCATCACCCTAGTTCTCCTAAGAAGGAAGGCAGACCTACCACATTTCCATTCTCAAGTATGTAAATAGAAACTAGCAACAACCCAGCAGCATGCCAGCTGAGAGCTATGCAAGAATTATTTCTTATGTAATCTCTTTTATTCCCTTTCCTACTGTCCTCTTCACTCAGATTTCTTTCTTCCTACTCTGTATCACAGAAAAAATGTTTTAGGAAAGATAGTTATTAGGTTCATCTCCTTTTCCTGGCCTCGGAGAAGGGATTGCATATATAGGGTAAAAAATTTATTCTCACATAAAGGCCATTAAGGCCTTCTTTGTTTGTATTCTGTAAGGCAAATATTTATGGTTTTAAGTTTCAACTTCCTGATAAAAGAAATAAATTCTGTTTAAGGAATTGAATGTTGGCAAGAGAAAAAGGCTAGTTTGGAAAGCTTTCTACATAGCACGTGGCATGCTGAAGAGAAAATCATTACACAAACCTCTAGCAGCAAAACATGAGTGAGTCAGCAAATAATAGGATCAGGTCAATCAAGAGAAGGCATGGTACAAGTAAATACAACTACTTGTAGGTCACTTATTAAACAAAATTCAGGAGATTAGTGGCTTGTGAAAACATGGATTTACAAAGTGAAGTGGGAGCATATAAGCAAACTACAAAACTCAGAACCATCACGGGCGATTGCGGCTTTCCCATCAGCCTCATCTGTAGTTACACAGATACCTTTCCAGAATGATCAGAGAACAGCCAACCATTTCTCATGGCTCCGTTAAGTTTTGACATAAATCTCACCAAATATAAACTTTTTTTCTAAGAGTTTCACTATAATTACTCTGGTGCATTTTATCCCCAATGAAAACTGACAAGATGATTTTTTTCTGTAGTGATAAAAAAAAACTTTCTTTAAAGAGGCAGGGAGAGGAGTAGAGAGATAAAATGAAAACACCTTCCCATGCATTTACACCTGGCATGTTGCTGTTGGGGCCAGGATTTAAATTGTGGTCTGCCATGTGGGATCTGGTTCCCTCTGCACAGTGCTTAAGCACTGTGCTATGGAGCCAGCCCAGTAGTGGTAAAAATTAAATATGCTATAGTCAATGTTATTATACAGTTATGTAAAAGAGGATATGGAAAGAGATGGATTTTGCCAGATGATGTTACTGGTGGCTAAGGAAAGCTTGAAAAGGATTTTTTTTTTTCATTTATTTACTTGTTTAAGAGAGATTTTTGCTATAGGGTATGTTTGTTCACCAGAGAGACAGACAAGTGAAAAATAATTCCCCATGGGGAATGGGCATACCCCATTCCCTTCTCCTCCAGTCTCCTCTTGGGATTTTGGGTGTACACACACACACACACGCGCCCAGTGTGTTTCAAGCGGCCAGGTCCAGGACTTGAACTGCAGTTGACCGTATGAGAGTCCAGAGCATTAACTACTATACCACCTGCTGGCCCTTGAAGAGGATTTTCAAGGAAAGTGGTGGTAAGCTCAGTATTGAAGGAAGGGTGTCTCAGGGAGTAAACTGAGAACATTCTGGGAGAGGGAATAATATGGAAATAAGTAGAAATACATGAGACAGAACATATTAAGTGGATAATGGATTTGAAAGGGCTATGAAATGGTAAAACTGTTGAAGTAATTCAGGCAAAAATAAAACAAAACAAAAAACCATAATAGCCTAAACATGGCCAAAGTGGTTAGATTCCAGAGATATTTCAGAATCAAAAGAAGTTATAATTAAATGTGCAAGGTAAGTGGATGGGTAGAAAGAGAGGCAACAGGAGAGACAGACACAGCCACAGAGAGGGCTACAGAAGAGGGCAACATTTCTGTTAGGGCGGGTCAAGGAAAAACTATGAAAAAAAGAGGATTTCTGTAAGTAATGATTACATAATGTTATAAACAGGCAAAGAATGTCATGAGTAAAGAAATAAGACAGAATTATAGGGAGAGAGTTGTAGATAACCATTCTGTTTAGCAACTGACATTGTAAACAGAGAGTAAAGAGATTTAAGACAGGAATACAGAACATCCTCATCACAAATGTGATTCTAAAAAAATGACTCTGAGTAAGTTCACACAGACTAATACAATTTCAGCTGATGAAGCTAGTCTTATAAAATCCTAAGGAATGGAGGAGGATAAGAATTGACTCAAGTCTTGACAGCAGAATGGTATTTGACAACGCTGTTGAATTCCAACTAAACACTAAGAACTTTGTGTTCTAGAAACTGAGGGTTTAATAATAAAAAAAAAAGAGACATGATTCTTTATTCTCTTGGATATTAATTTTGGTGAAGGAAAATAGGTAATAAAGAAAAAAATGTATACAAAAGTGACAAAGTAATAGAGAACTAAATATCATAAAGGAAATCAGATAGTATGATACAAAGTGATGGATATACTATACATCTATTTTCCTGAGATAGGGCAGTACAGAAGGCCTCTTAGGAGCTCATAGTATAGCTGAGATCTGAACAATGAGAAAAAAGCAGTAGTGGGAACAGACAAAGATGTTCTAAGAAGAAACAGAAGATAGAATGAAACTTCTGGAATCAAAAACATAAGACATTACTAATTATCTCATTGATGCTTATTTTCATTTGAAAGTTAAGTAGGACTATTGAGAACCCTATTCAACTTTAGAAACAAGGTGTATAACTTCTAATAATTACCTTATAGCCCTCTACGCCGGGTTCTCCTCTCTCTCCTTGTTCCCCCATTGGACCCTATGAAGACCACACAGGAAAACAATCAACTTCACAGCTAGATTTAAGCATTTATGAATGCAGATGACATAATTAGTGTATTCTTTTACAAAAATATAAAGCTAAATATGTAAGAATTTTAGTTCCACTAAATAGTTTCAGCATATTTAATTTCAATGATACTAAGAACAACATAAAAATATGTTAAGCACTGCATTATCTAAAAAGAATCTTGTGATGACTCTGCTAGGAAAAATATTGAGAAAATGGAGTCCAATTAAAATTATGAACTTTTAGGTGAGTATAGTTATGTTTCAAATGATGCTGAAATAACTTGTATTTTTACTTAATTTTAAAATGACTGAAAAAGATTTATGCAGGACAGTTCAGCCACTTACTTAATTTCATTAATTATATAAGATTACATTTAAATGATTAAACCAAAAATTAACAGTTAATCCTACTGTACCATTCTTCTTCAGAAAGTCTATTGTTTATTTTATAATATGTGAAAATTTCAATTCTCAAGGCACAAATTAACTTAATAAAAATTATATTTAGTCACTTTAATCTTCACAGCAAAAATGAAATAACAATCTCAGACTTACTATTTCTAGACATTTCTAATATAAAATCTTGAATATCATAAATGCTCAAATTATTTACTCTAAAATGCACTTGAATCATCAGTTATTGCATACTAGGACCTACTATCAGAACAGAAAATTGCATTTAAATTAGTTGGCAAAATTATATGATTTATTTCAAAGCATTATTAATAAGTTTTAACTTAGTCCTATGTGTATAAAGTTAGTAGATATAATGTGAAGATAGCAATAAAACTCTTTAATCACTTAGAACAATCTTTATTTAAGTATGTCTATTTCACATCTACTAAATGAAACTATATATTTTTAATATGCTTATTATTTTTCAGTTGACATTCTTTGATTTGGCATACCTGAATCTAGAAAAGAACAAACACTATACTGCACTTGTCAATTCTTTTCCATTTGCTTTTAAGTTTTTGCATTATTTCTAAATATTCCCTCCTTTAGTGGTTTAGAGACTAGACAAGACTAACACATATGTTTAGATAAGTTTGCCTCTAAAATATTTCCTATTTCTAAAACAAAGAATAATCTTCAACAATCTCCAAAACCAGATCAGAATATAAAGAATGAACTACATATTCTGGATCCTTCTGCCTTAGGATTCTTTTATCCTATTAAAAAAAGGAAATAATAATTGATTATACTTATTTCTATGAACTAGAGATTTTTATTTTGCCTGTTTGATTTACATATATTCCTTAGGCATTGCTTCAGTCAAACATAAACATAGAAGCAGTTATTCGAATAATCAAGATTACAATAGCTACTTTTCAAACACCATGGTTACAGTCAGCCCTTAAAATGCCAGAAAGAAAACTACAGATCTGTGATTTTTAAAGATTATTGAATCTAATAACTGATTAGATGGACTTTCACAAACATGTGTAAACTATTATAAAGTATAAAAGATATATAAAGCTATATAAGATGCATAAAGATCATATTTTTTAATCCTTTAGAAATAAATTGAGAGTTGATGACTAAAGAAAAATCTGCCCCCAAATGCTCACAATATATAAGTTTTTGATAATCTCTATAATACGTTATCAGGCATTATGTCAGGCACATGTGTGGTGCATGTAGTGCCTAAACTCCTGATGGGATGGAGAAATGGAGGAAAAAGATACTTTCTCTCTTTTCTCTTTCTGATGAGTACATGTGTCCTGTGGCAATTTAAAAAATGTGAAATTTGGTTGTGAATCTATTACAATATTGCATTTTATCTTGAAAAGTAAAAATAATTTTAGAAAAGGACCTACTGGTTCACCTCGAGGCCCAGGTAGTCCTAGGACTGTACTACCTTCTCCTGGGTAACCCTAAAATGAAAATAATGATTTATAACAAAACCAGATTAATAAAATAACCCTTAAAAATACATAGCCTATTATTTTCTAGTATTTTAGAAAATACATACTTTGGTTTTATCTTTTTGAAGTGAAAAACTAAATATATATTTTATACACAACTGAAATTTGTACATGGGTTCTTCTTAGAAGTACCAATGTATTTAACTATATAAAAAGCAGCATAAACTTTTTTTCAGTTGACTTTTCAATGCAAATTACTACTGTAGTTATTCCTAACTCATCAAAATTTTAAAATATAAATGTACTATAATTAGTCATTTTGTCTGGATCAATTTATTTAGATTATTTAATCTTTTTTTAATCCTTTACAAACTCTACAAATTGCAAAGCACTTTCACTCTTATGTATTATTTCACTTCAGTCTTAAAATAAACTATGGACAAAATTTTTAATAATTTACTAAAATTTTACCCTTTGGGTCAGTACTATAATGCAGTGGCTAAGGGAATTGGGCCCCACATAGTTGACTGCAGTTCAAATCACGGCCCTGGTGACTTAAACACACTAGTGAGATGTGCGTATGTGCCCCAATCCTGACAGAACAGAAGAAAAGAGGAGAAGGAATTGTGGAGTGACCATTCCCCTCTGGCACATGCTTTCTCCCTCACTTCTGCCTTTTTGTCTCTCTCCAGCAAGTTCATAAGCTCTCTGGCATTTTTTTTTTAAGAGAGATTTTTGTTATAGAGTGCGTGTGCTCACTGGAGAGACAGAGTGAGAAGTTACCCCCTGGGGGTATGTTTATGCCCCAATTCCTTCTCCTCCATTCTCTTTGGATTTTGGGCATGCATGCATGTGCACCCAGCTTGAGTTTTAAGCTGCAAGGTCTGGGATTCAAACCACGATGGATTACATGAGAGTCTAGTGATATAACCATTATGCCATTGGCTGGTCCTGCTCTCTGACAATTTTTAAAAATAATTTACCTCTTTGGTATTTCTATTTTTTTCCCCAAGGATTTATAGAATTTCCAATTTGAAACTGCTTTTTTTATTCCTGGAAAATGGTTCCATGCATTCTTTCAGAAATAATGAATTCAATGTTTAACTTTAGGATTAAAAAGTCAGTGTATATATATATATGTACATACCTTTTCTCCTTTGGGTCCTGGCAACCCAGAAAGTCCTGGTTGACCTTGATGGCCCTAACAAAAAGACATTTGTAAGTAAACATTTTTTAATATCATTTGTACATGCTCTACGTAATGTTTATAATGCTATTAGATACTGCACTATTCTGAAATAAACAATAGAATTAACTCCATAGGTAGATGAGGCCTAAATATGTTAGAAAGGTTTATCAGTGCTATTCCATCTTCATTTGTATATTAGGTATATTATTTTTAATATGATATATATTTTATTTTCAATTAAAAATGCTTACTGTATATCCTGGAATTCCTGGTTCTCCAGCAGGTCCCATCAAACCTAAGTTTCCCTAAAAACAACATAAGTATTGACAAGAAAGAGAAGAAACTATTGTTTAAATTATTAAACTTGTACTATCTGAATTGCTACCTTTAGATTTTTCATGGTTTGAAACTCTACCTAGTTTGAAATGGGAAAACTAAAAATAACAGTCCAATTTTTGTTTTTATTTTTCTTCTGAATCAAAAAGTTCTACCAAAAAAGGCAACTCTTTTTTTTTTTTAAATTGCTAGAGGTATATATACTCACCAGAGAGAAACAGAGGCAGAGAGGAGGAAGGAGAGAGAGAGAAAGCACCCAGGAGCAGGGCGTGATGGTACCACAACTCCTTCCCATTTCTCCATCCTTTCAGCTTTTTGGGAACTCACTCATAAACACACAAGTGGCCAACATGTTTGCAAGGGCCCTGGGACCTGGATTCAAACTGCAGCTGGCCATGTGGAATCCGTTCCCTTAATCGCTAGGTTATAGGACTAGTCTCTTCAGTTTATTTCTAATATGAATATTCTAAATCCCATTAAAAGAAATACTCCTAGTTGTCAAGATCCTGCTGGTCCCTAGCAATGTCTCAGGAATGTAGTTTATATCTGTCAAAGTTTGTGGTAGATGTGTGTCACTGAATATCAGAAAGTGAAATCTGATAGTTTTTGATGTTGTCACTACCAGATCCAAGAGAACTCTGTAGTCATTGATAATTTCAGAGGCTTCAATGAATATTGTTTTAGTCTATGTCAAAGTTATTAAAATAGAACTGGTTCATAAATTACATGTGATAAGTACCCTGTAATTACTTTTATTACCAATATTTTACAGTTTGGGAGACCATATTAATTAAAGACTAATTGGTAAATGCCTTTAACTTACTGAGAAGATGACTAGACAACTGAAAAAAGCAAAAATAATAATCCTAAAAATGTCCTGTGTTCATATTATCAAAAAATATCCACATTAACACTCCTATTTGAGTCTGAAACAAACAAGAGATGAGGAAATTAAGGCGGCACAGAATAGGTTATGTGACTTGCCAGATATAACATCAACCAGGTACTAAACCAGATCTCTTGATCTCGCATGCAGAAAATTTCCCATGTGCTCATACTGCTTTACTGTATCTGATGACTTCTCTAATGACCCAGCTCCAAAAATGTATGGCAGTTACTAACTATTGATGGGTAAATTTAGTCTCAGAAGTTAAGGTCAAATTTCAGTCCAAAAAAAGAATGGTATTAAATCATTTTTTAATAAGAATTCATCTATTACCAAAGTAATTCAGAATAGAGTATAGCTATTCATTCAGTTCATGCTCCTAATTGAAAATAACCTAAGAAAAATTGTGCACACTGGATCAAGACAGTTGAATGACATATGCTTGATTCACTAGGCTCATTGAAAAAGAGAGAGTTCTTTATTTCTTTGTCATAGGAATGCTGGAAAATAAATAGACATCATCAGTAGACCACAATTTTGTGATTTGAGATATAAACTAGGGCTGAAGATATGCAAAGGAAAAAAAAAAGTGATGCATGTGTGCAAAGTGTCTCAAGTTTCAAACTCTGAAACCAAGAGATGAATGCGACAAGAGGGGGTCAGGTTGACTACTTGGGGAAAGGAGTCAGGTCTTCCTGCTTCCCTGCTTATGCTGGGTATTTGACAGCAGCATTTTCCTAGATGACAAATGAGAGTCTGGACACTGTGGCCAGAAAGGCAGGCAGTACTAAAAGTTACTGCTGACTACAAGGTTGAATAGATAAGAGGCGTTTTAATAAGAAATAACATGTGCGTTTCAGAGGGAAACTAAGAATTATGAAGCTTAATGTACCTAGGAATATATCTTCATAATGTGCAACTCCCCAAAATACATGGAATTATAAAGTATATATGAACAGGCAACTGCCAGAGGAAAAAAGTACAAATAACTTAGTTGCAATCAGGGAAATGTAAATAGGATGAAAAAGGAGATAACACTTTTCATTTATTAGATTGGCAAACACCAAAAAGATTAATACAAAGTTTTAATTGTAGGGATGTATTGTTTGTGAAGCCTTTGAAAAGGTAGTTTGGGAACATGTGTTAGAAATTTAAAAAGTGAATACTTTTATAAAGAAAAATTCAAAGTGGGAACATACATTGAAGGCGATAGTCTTTGGCAATATTAGTAAAGTTTTTGTATTTATTAAAAATTGATCATGGAATGGCTTGCTGCCTAGTGGCAAAGGGAGTCATATTCCACATGGCCTACTGCAGTTCAAATCCCAGCCATGGTGGCTTGTAAAACATACTGGGGTGCATATGAATGCATGGCCAAAATGTGACAGGATGTAGAAATGGAGATAGATTTCTTGAATGGCCGTGCCCTAGTGGCACTTTCTCCTCCCTCTCCCTCTGTCTTTCTCTAATGAGCATATGTGCCCTCTTGCAATTAATAAAAAATTAATCACATTATATAATGCTTTTGAACACATAGGCCAAAGACAGAGCAATATGAGTATTTTAAATAAAATGAAGTAAGACTGGCTTAGAGTAGAAGGATGACAGTAAAGAATGGGAATTTTTTTTTGGAGAGGTTTTGCTATAGGGCGCGTGCGCTCACCAGAAAGAGAGACACAGAGAGATAGAAAGCAAGAAATCACCCCCGATGGGGGATGGCCACGCCACAATCCCTTCTCCTCCATTCTCCTCTCGGGATCTTGGGTACACACACACGCACATACGCCTGGCATGAGTCTTAAGCTACCAGGTCCGGGACTCGAACCACAGTTGACTACATGGGAGTTCAGTGACATAGCCTTCACGCTAACTGCTGGTCCCAAGAATGGGAGTCTTAAAATGAGCCTATTGCAAGCCTTATTTAGAAACAGAAGGATTATATATGAGTCTCCAACAGGCCTTTATAAAAAATCTAGCGTTTCTGACATTTAAATGAAGTCTAGGAAATACACATTCATTTTGTATTTAAGCTTATGAAATAGAAGACTAAACTGAAGAATCTTTTCAGTATTTTGTTTGTTTTGCATAAAGACTTTCTAAACAGGTCCAAACATATATTAGCAACGTAATTTTGCTAGAGGTGTACTACATTTGTTCTCAACATCATGCAAAGTTCATGCAAAAGATTAAATATATAATTAGATGTTATGGGGATTTATCACAGTTGGTTAGAAAAATAATCTCCAAATAAAGCATGTGTAGTCCAAGCATAAAAAGAAAACCCATTTCGAGTAAACTTAATTTTCAAAGCAATTTGTCAACCATGATGGCATAGTTTTATACAGATATTAAATCTTGATTTTAAGTGCTAGGAGTAGAAACTTTCCTACTTAGGTTAGCAGTTATAATCTGATTTTTTAAAAACCTCATTTCATATTTTATTTCCATTTCAGGTTTTTTTTTTTTTTTTCCACTTTCCTTTTTCATGTCCAGAAACCACTAAGCCATTTAAGTACTGTGGAATGCTTACAATTCTACCACATCCCATAGAGGTAGATTACTTTCAGTGGAACTACTGCCTTCTCTGTAAAGTTAATCAAGGGATGAGGCTTTAAGGACACGAATACTTTTCTTTCCCATCCACAGTGACTCAGTTATGGAAACAAATCAAATACTGACCACAGCACCTCTTGTTCCTCTGGCACCCTTAGGACCACTTTTCCCAATTTGTCCAGGAGCACCTCTTTTTCCAACTTCTCCTATTGGTCCGATTTGTCCTTTATCACCCTGGAGATGATATTAGTAAAAGAGAAAAGTAAGAAAAAAGCAATTTATACTTAGATGAATTAACTAGATCATATATCTCAAGTATATATCCAAGGATATTTGGTAAGTGAAACTCTATACATAGCAACTTTCCTTTAAGTTAACAGTATTGTAGACCACCACTAACAATAATAACATACTGTCAACCACACAAGTTACTTCAAAAATAAAAGTAATTTTGGAAGTAGAAGATTAAAAAAAAAATCTTGGCCAAATAAGCAAGTGATATATGGTGCTCATGTTGAATTCCAAATAGCCAAGTTTTATTTTAAATTTTGTGACATATGTACACATGCAAGTCCTGTTACCATGAAAAAAACATAGGCCCCACAAAAAGTCTGTTTCTGCAGAGAATTTCAGTATAAAGATAATGATTAATACAAAAAAGTCTCTGGTGTGCAGTGCTACAGATTCAGGATCATCACTCACTGGCTTAGAGTATGCCTTCAAAAATCAGCAACATTTTTATACATTTTACAATCCTGAAAACTAGTTATCTTCTTTTATTAGCCTGATTTACCCTACTCTAGCACCAAAATACAGCTGCTCTGAAACAATATTTAGTACTGCTACCCATTTTCCGAAAGTGGGAACTAACCTGTTCTATCATTGATAGTCAAGAACACAAAAAACTAAATTGTACAGAGTCAGGAAATTTGGGTGTCCATAATAGTTCATAGGCTTTATTTTACTTCTGCAGTGGTGCAGGTTATTGTGAAGACCTACACTGTCCCATTTCTCATATCGATTTTAGAATATTGTGTAGGATGAAAGAGACTTCAGTATTAGGGTTACCTTCATGGACAAGAATGGCAATAAAAACTTACGTTGTTCATTTTTCTTTATGGTTCAAAACCTCTGAGAAAGATGGACTAGAAATGGATATCTGCAGAAGTGCTAAAATCATCCTTTGGCATTTGATTATAATAAATACATTCTGTACTGTCAGAGTCTAGCACAATGGGAAAACCATTTCTGTGTTTTACTAATAGTTGAACAAAGCATTGATCCTACGCAAGGATGATTTTTCCATTGTAATGTACTAGGATTTTAGGATACATTCAATTTTTTAGCATAATACAAAGTAAGCAAGTAAAAATATTCTTGATTTCTTGTTCTTAGTATATGGAAAATAAAATCAATCACTGACATTTTCAATTTAGAAAAAAAAGTAATAAACTCAGAAACAATTATATTCATTTTCTTCAAATATTTTACTAAGGTTGCCACCAATTAGCACAAATAGTATTTCCCTTTTTATCTCTTTTCTTGCCCATGGTACTCTACGTGAATTTTTGACAAGCAGGAGAAAAAGAGAATGCAAAGATTCTTTTTTCACAAACTACAAAATGAAAATTTGCCTTCAAATAAGCAAGGTAATAAGTATTCTTAACTATAGAATGAAATACTAATTTATCTAAATGTGATTTCTTTACTCAAATGTAATCATTATTATCTAGCGCAAATAAAAATATTATAGCATTAAAAGAAAGAAAATCAGCATAAAAAGATGTTTAAAAAATTACCTTTTTTCCTGGGCGACCTCTTTGACCTGGAATTCCCAAAATTCCTTCAGCTCCCTAAATATTTAATATAAAATAGGAAATAAATGCTTAAAGAAAAAACGAAATGAGCATTTGGACTCTACTTAAATAATCTCTGAATTGAATACTAAGTCAAAAATGGTTACCTTTCGGCAATCTTATGTTTGCAAAATTATTTAAAAAATGGTCATAATGATTTAGATACATGGCTGTTAATAGTGATAAAGATCACACACACTAACTGGCCAAGGCAAAATTAAACTGTTCTCTAGGAAGCAAATTACTTAGTTTCACAAAACTCATTTTAATTAGTGAGAATATAGTGAAAGTAAATCCAAATGCATCCATTCAGAATTTTAATGAGCTACTGTGAGTTTGGCATCCTCTGGAAATTAGAGAATTATATAAAATATATAATATATGATTAAGGAAAATATCTCAAGATCACACTGGATTTGAGAGGATTAAAGAGATATTCTTTGATCTGTGGAGGATCAAAGAAAAGGAGGGGAGGAAATACAGGGTGAAAATAGAGCTGAGATAGTAAACTGTTCAAAATAATATTTTCATTTCAATCCATACTTTGTTTAGCCAAAAGTAGATGAAAGGTTTTTAATATATACTTTTAAAGTAAAAATTGGGATGCCATATGGATTTTTAGATCAGTAATAGTTTTAAGCAAGAGCCATTGTAAGCCAGGTTTGCAACTTCGAAAATGGTAATAATTAATCATAACAATCCCTGCATTAGTTGGAAATGAAAATGGAAATCTCATATTTGTGTCCAAAGAGCTCGGCAAACTGCAACGATGATGTAGACAAGAAATAAATTGTGGTTTACCACTGTGCTATGTAGGCTCTCAGTAAATATTTGTTGAACGAATAAACAGATACCTAAGGAAATGACTCATGCCCTATGCTTGTGAGCAATGGCTCTTCTAGATTCAGAAAGTCACTGAAATCAGAGGCCAAGGTGGTTAATGTTCTATTGCTGTAGTTATAGCTGCATCCAGAGGTGAAAATGATAGTTGCACCATCCTGAGTATTTCTTTATAGTTAATGGGGCTTTTTAAAAAGAGGCTGGGGAGTGATAGAGCACCCCCAATGGAGCACGATCATGCCATGATTCCTTCTCCATCTTGTCTGGATTTGGGCTACGCATGCAAATGTAACTGGTGTGCTTTTTAAACCACCAGAGCCAGGATTCAACTGTGTGGTTGGTCATGTGGGCTCTGGCTCCCTGAGCCACTGGGTAATGTGGCTAGCTTTTAAAAGTTATACTGCTCCTTTGGGGCTAACAGGTGACGTGGTGGTTAAGGTACTGGATTCCCACATTGTTTACTGAGGTTTGAATCCTGGACCTGGCATCTGGACAATCATGCAAAGTGCATGTACATGAATGCCCAAAGTCCCAGGAGAAGGAAAGAATGGAGAAGGGACTGTAGTATGGCCACCCCCTATAGGTGGTTGATTTCTTACTTTCCTTCTCTCCTCTCTCTCTCCCCATGGGGAGCACAAGCACACAATGGCAAAAACCAAAAACCAAACAAAAAAGTTATACTACTCCAATTTCTTATTTTGGCTCTGACACCTAATAGGTATAGCTATATGGCTATGGTTAGATTATTTAACCTGTAAAGGTTTTGGTTTCTAGTTAAATAAAAGATGCATACTAAAATCTCTTCAGGGTTAAATAAGATTAAATGAGGTAATGCATATAAAGCTTAGAAAGGAACAGACTTACAATGGAGAGCTCAATCAATGCTAGCATTCACTCTAATTTCTGCTGTTTTTAGAATGTGTATTATGCAATATTTAAGTACACTATATTAATATATATATAAATATTAAAAGGTCCACTGAAAACCACATACCTATCATACTTTTTTTAAAAACAAATTTTGAAGAATTATTTTGTGGGAACCAGCAGTTAGCGTAATGGCTATGTCGCTGGACTCCCACGTAGTCGACCGCGGTTCGTGTCTCAGACCCGGTGGCTTAAAACTCACGCCGGGCGCGTGTGCGTGCGTGCCCAAGATCCCGAGAGGAGAATGGAGGAGAAGGGATTGCGGCGTGACCATACCCCCTGGGGGGTGATTTCTCGCTTTCTGTCTCTATGTCTCTCTCTGTCTGGCGAACGCACGCGCCCTACAGTGAAAATCTCTCCAAAAAAAAAAAAAAGAAAAAAAAAGAAAAGAATTATTTTGTTTAACATTGTTTATGTATTTTAATTTGACTAGAGAGGGACAGAGTAAGAGAGAGAAGAGAGAGGGAGAGGGGGAAAATGTGAAAGCAAGCCACCAAGTCCAGGACTCAAAGTGCAGTAAGTCATCTGGAAGTCCAGTGCCCTTAACCACCATGCCACCTGCTGGCTTCCAAACTTTTTTTTGAGAAGCTTTTGCCTTAGGGAGCATGCACTCATTGGAGAGAGAGAGGCAGAGACAGTGAGAGGGAAAGGGAGAAATCACCCCCCCCCCACCGTGGGGATGGTCACACTACAGTCCTTTCACCTTCATCCTCCTCCTGGGATCTTGGGCATGCACACACATGCACACAGAGTGACTTTCAAGTCATGGGGTCTGGTACTTGAACTGCTGCTGGCTACATGGCAGTCCAGCAATGTAACTGCTATGCCACCTGCCAGTCTCCCTTATCATACTTTTAAAGAAGTGGGGCCAAGGGGCCAGCAGCTGGCATAGCGGTTGCATCATTGGACACCCATGTCACCTGGACCGGGTGACTTGAAAATCATGCTGGGTGCATGTGTGCATATGCCCAAGATCCTGGGAGGAGAATGGAGGAGAAGGGGCTTGTGGTGTGGCCATCCTCCCAGGAACGATTTCTTACTTTTCCTCTCACTCTCTGTCTCTTTCTCTGGTAAGTGCGTGCACCCTAAGGCAAAAACCTCTTTAAAAAAGAGAAAAGAAAAGGAGCCAATGTATGCATATATAACTAAAGCCCTATACACATATACTATTTCAAATACATCATTTTCCTTCCTCATTCAGGTGCAACCATTGTCCAGAATTTATTATTTCTATGAATTTCTTTATACTTTTACTCCATTTGTATGTCTTCTGAAGCAATATATGACTATTTTGTATATTTTAAACTTTAATTAGGCTAAATTACTATTAAATTTTATGTATCATTAAAGTCTTTTACACATTTTGATTTTGAAAGTATTCAGTGTCTAATTCATTCACTAACAGAAACAACAAAGAAGTTGCTCTAGCATTTCATGCTAGCAAACTAAAACTAATGTAACCATTTTTCTTTGATTAACTTTTTTTGGTGTTTTGGATTATTTTTTCTGTTATAGACAATGTTGAAATAAATACCCTTATGCATGTATCATGTGTCCATATCAAGAGTTTTTTTGGAGGTATATAACCCAGAATTGAATTGTGGGGTTATAGAATATATTGCCAAAGTTATCCTGTGCAATGGAGTGGATGGCATCTCACTTCCTGACCCTCGAATATATTACAAAGTTTTGATAATCAAAACAGCATGGTACTGGCACAAAAACAGATAAGAGGACCAATGGAATGGAGTAGAGACACCAGAAATAAACCTCAAACATTCAGCCAATAGATCTTTAACAAAGGGTACCAATAAATCCAGTGGGAAAAGGGAAAATCTCTTTAGCAAATGGTGTTGGGAAAACTGGGTATCTACCTGCAGAAAGATGAATCTGAACCCATCTGTCACCATTAACAAAAATCAATTCAAGGTGGATTAAAGATCTAAACCTAAGACCGCAAACTATTAAACTGGTGGAAAACACTGGGGAAACTCTAGGAGACATTGGAGTAGGCAAAGACTTCTTAAACAAGACCCCCAAAGCACAGGCAATAATCCCCAAAATAGACAGATGGGATTACATCAGATTAAGAAGTTTCTGAACAGCAAAGGACACTGTAATTGGTGTGAATCAACAATCCTCGGAATGGGAGAGAATTTTTGTTAGCTGTGCCTCAGATAAGGGACTAACAACCAGAATACACAGGGAACTCAAGCGGCTTACCTGGAAGAAAATGATTAACTCAATTAAAAGATGGAAAAATGAACTGAATAAGCAACTCTCTAAGGAAGGCATATGAACAGCCAAAAAGCATATGAAAAAATGCTCAACATCCCTCATCATAAGGGAGATGCAGATCAAAACCAAAATGAGATACTACCTAACTCCAGTCAGAATGGCAAAGATTAAATCAAAAACAAAAACAAAAACACAAAATGATAAGAGCTGGCAGGGATGTGGTGAAAGGGGAACACTCCTACATTGTTGGTGGGAATGTAAACTAGTCCAACCACTATGGAGAACAATATGGAGGCTCCTCAAAGACCTTCAAATAGAAGTACCATATGATCCAGCAATTCCACTCCTGGGTATCTGCCCAAAGGACTGGAGAACGTTCAATTGAAAAAGTGCTTGCACAACTGTAATTATTGCAGCATTATTCATGACTGCTAAGACATAGAACCAACCCAAATGTCCATAAACAGATGAATTAAAAAAGTGTGGCACATATACTCCATGGAACACTACTCAGTCATAAAAAACAAGGCCCTGGAATTTGATAAGAAGTGGACAAATATGGAAGATTTGTTGCTGAGTGAAGCAAGTCAGGTCATGACAGAGAGACATGTATGTTTCCACTTACATACTCTGACTGTCTGCACTCTACGGTACAGACTGAAAGACTACAGGACATAAAAGCAGTAAAAATTGTTATGGACACTAGAGACGAAGTGGAAGGAGTGTATGGGAAGGAAGAGTGTAGGAAAGGAAATTTGGGGAAAAAAAGAGAGGTAAGACATTTGTGGGACACAGATATGATTTATCATCTGTTGAGGATGTGTATAGTATTCTCGACTGTGCTGGACTGAGGTTTATATCATTCTGGGTAAAGTCTCTTTATAATATGTATTAATAATAAATTTTAAAAAGAATATATGTATTTTCAGATAGTTTAAATTTTGTCAAAGTGTCTTCCAAAATGCTTTTGACAATTTAAATTCTCACAACAA